ATGAAGTGATTCTGCGACGCCAGCGGATTTAAAGTCACCACCGCTTTAGTCGCGCTTGGTGAAGTTTGCTATGCGGGTTATACTAAAAACATGCGCCGATACTTCGTGGGCTTTCATCGGGCCTGAAATTTCAAATATTTCCACAAGCCGCAACGCTGGCATCCGTCATTTTTATGGCCCGTGTACAACGTAATCTTCCGGTCGCTGCTTGCCATTTCAGTCATATTTGCATGATCAAACGAGACACCGCTTCACCAGCAGCCAATGGGCGCCTCTTATTGACCCTGCGACAACATATGGTTCCGCCGCAAATGGCAAGTGCCAGTCACTTCGAGTGAGCTACTCAAAGTGCGCACCAAAATGCACGAGCCGGGCGTGGAGGGGGTCTGAGCGGGGACGGCGAAAGTGCATCACAAACATTCATCAGCACTAACTGAGTAAATGTTTGCTACGTTGAGGTGGCTCCAGTGAGGGCTATTGATTCAGAACGCGCAGATCCAGAACGAATTCTCAGAGTTGTGGAACAAACGTGAGTATCCGGCTGTTGTTAATTAATGCTATGTATTTGGACCTCACACCAAAGAAAAAGATGGCCACCAGTTTGAATTGTAGAATGTGGCAGCCTGTAGGATATGATCATCTTTGGACCTTCGTCATTCTTTGCTATTGCTCTTCATCGCAGGTGCAAAAGTACTACAGACACGAAAAGAGGGCTGCTATGCCTGGTCAATGTCGGGTGCGAAATGCATGCGTTGCTGCGAGCGGAAATAAATAATTAACTCCAGCGTTTGTGTCACAATCGTTAACGACAGGAGCATAGGCCAATGCCACTAAATATGGATTTGCAGACCGTTTTTGTTTGTTGGTGTTTCGATACATTATTATCGAAACACTAACAAACAAAAACATTCTGGGAGAGCGGAGTTTTTTAACGTGTCGCTGCAACATTGGGCGTCTAAATGTACAGACAGGAAAGAAAGCCTTTTCTGTGCAGTATGACTTGGCTGTCACCACTGGAAAGTGGTTACAACCTAGACGTTGAGGGATTCGATGCTCCGTCCTGGCTTGATCAACCTAGAAACCCCCAAATGATATGGTCTCCTCACATTCAGCTCATTAGTTCTGTCATTGGAAGAGCTTCAAAACATTCGTTGATTTTGCATCGCAACGCTTCGAATTGCCATGAGCCTACCTCCCTGGTATCCGAGAGTTCCTTGTCAAGTAAGGGGGACCGAGTCCCTGAAAATTGGGGAGGGAGAGGGAGGCTCGAGTCCATCCACCTTAATACGATCCAACGCATTCACATACACAGATACCATCTCACTGAATTTGCTCCTGTTCCTCACAAAAGCCGTTGCCAATAATCGAGCTTGGCATGGAGGAAATTTCTGGCCAGGCCCAACACGGACATTGGTCGATCATTAATCCCAAGGCGGAGCTGGATGGCCCAACAGGACTGTCCGCCAGGGGCGCCCGGGCGCGTGGAGGGCCCATCACCCAGACACGAGGCAGCAAGCATGGGCCTGGATCGCACACCTGCACACGACCTCAGGCCGCGCCAGCCACCGAACCATCTCAGCAGGGCGAGCACGTCACCCGTCACACGCTGCACGTTTGGTGCCGGACAGACTAGACCACGGCGCGCCGCAGGCACGTGATATGGCGGCGCGGGGTCAATGCGCTCAGTGGTTGGGGCAGTCGCGTGCGATAGCTGCTTCCTGGCAAAGGTAACGACATTACTCCGGACCGCGACCTGTTCGCAGCGAATGGTCCAGTGAACACGGCAACGTTTTGACAAACCAAAACAAATGTGTTTGCGAGGTGTGTACCAAGTGTTTTAATTACTTGGCCATGCGGTTCGTGTTGAACCTATTTATGCATTGTATCCGACAATGACAATTCGAAACCCCGAAAATACAGGATTAATTAAAACATGATCGACCCTACCACGAGCTTTGTACCCTACCCCATTTGCTTCTTCTTAACTCAAGCCAATTACGAAAACAAGTATTAATGTTGTATATCATGCATGATAGCCGCATTCAGTGCCATGTCTGATGTCCAAATCCACTGCAACCAGACAAGATCCGCGTTTATAAAGCATATTGGGAGGTTGCCATATTGGTACGCAACTTCGGCAAAGTAAACTTGCGCGCTGACCAGCGTTGGCGCGTCTTAAATGGGGCGATACGCTCATAAACGGAAACTTTCAACCAACTCATGTTGTTTCTAGGTATATTAGACTAGCAAAGCCTTCCTAACAGCACCTCAGTCTACTAGCGACACCAATAATCCACTTAACACGCCGTATTGGCACAGGCGTTCTTCCGCTCTGCGCAAGTGCTGCAAGGTTCAGGGATTAAAAATGCCGCATCCGTGTGCGCCCCATGACTCCGCGCCCACGACAGCCAATAAGCGTTCTCTCAGCAGCCGCGTCACATCCGTTAAAGGGACTGCTCCAAATTCATCTGGGATTTTAAACTGACCCAGCCATCTTGAAGATCATTCGGTACAATTCACAGCCCTGTCCTTCCAAAGACGTAAACTCCCTAGTTGTTGAGCTACACGCCCGCGCAGATGTGCAGACTGTTTTGGGACAATATTTCAAGGTCACCCAGGCATTCATGACGCCTCAAAAACGTCATTAAAATCCTGCCATCCCATTGGCTATGCGACGATCAAGGCCAAGACAGCTGCCATTGTCGAGTCGCTTGTATCTGGCGTTTGTGGGCACGATTTCCAGATATAAAGGCCATCGATTGACTCTCAATCCATGTCGTGAAAGATACAATGGCGTAATCAAATAATGACGTGTTAAAGAGCATATTTGCTAAACGGAGAAATTGCACTGTCTAGAACAACCTCTTCCACTTCAGAGTATATCATTGGTTCTTAGTGAGCTTCTCATCATATTTGATGCTTACCGCTATATCTTCCGATGTGGAGCATTCCCTTGAACCAACCTGTGTTGGGTTAAAACATCACCAGATTGCAGAAGTGCTGAATATGGTACCGAGGCAGTGCCGACGCCATGTGCGGTGTAGTAGCCTGGCACGAATATTGGCCAAGTCGCTACATCGCCCTGCTCACAGAAAAAGCGCAAGTTTTCGAAATGCATTCAAACGTATTTTACCATGCGTGGCGCTGCACGTCATCAGCATTATCACCTGCTGTTCGTGCCATTCCGTCATGATTTGGTGCATTTTCAAGCTTTGCATGATAGGGGTGTAGGAACTATGTTCGAGCTGGGGAACAAAACTCCCAAATGTCAAAATGGGCCCGATTATATTAAATAGTGGGACCTTTTAGGCCGGAATGGGGCCTTTGCAGTCAACTGGATCCTGCGCAGGTCAGAATGGGCCTTCAACAGGACAAAATAGGCCCTCTGAAGCCAATAATAGGCGCTTTAAAGATTTGGATGGCACACTACCGGTCAGAATGGAGTCTCCACGGGTCAGAATGGGCCTCAGTAGGCCAGAATGGGCTCTTTACAAGCCAGAATGGCCTTCTGCAGGCCAAAATGGGCCCTCCAGCCAATTATGAGCCGTCTTCAGATCAGAATGGGCCCTTGATAGACTCAAAAGTGCCCTTATTTGGTCGGAATGGATCCAAAATAGCAAAATAGCCTGCACAGGGCACTCAAATTGGGGAGGGGGGAGGGGCGCCAACCCCATAGTTTTCAAGTGTGTGGGGGGGGGGCGCTGCCCCACTGCCCCCCCCCCCGGGGTTCCCGCGTCTTTTTTGCTTGATATTTTCAGTAATTAGTTTACCACCTATGTAAACTAGTTAGGGCTGTCCAGGGATATGCTGAAAATTCTCCAGTGATCTATCTTGTCTGAGCGTCACCATGAACAACAGCTCAACATCCTCATCCGCACGAACGGGAAAGAGGGCATGGCCGGACCGTCAATCTGACATGCTAAAGGATCATCCTAGTGCAGCTCCAGCTCTAGATCACCCTAGTGCAGCTCTAGATTTACCTGTGCTAACGCAAGAAAGAACAACAACGAAAAAGGGTACAGACCATAGGGAATGCCCGGCCGTCAGTACCAGGCGTCACGTACGTGCCAGTTTTCCGTGATAGATTATGTATTATGACGCCCCGGAACGCGGCCATCGACCGTCATTGTCTGACACGCACTTGCGTGCTGCCACCCTCTGATCAGGGCGACCACGAACGCGCTGAGACCCCCAATCAGGAGGGGCGTGCGGAGGACACTCCTGGTGCCGGGGACGCTCTTGATAACAGACCTGACCTCGCCGGAGGCCTTAGTCATGAGATGTGGCCGCCACGGCTCATGACAGTGTCACTCTGTCAGGGCTCGTGAGACAAGCTCAAGAGCCTGCGTTTCTTGCGGACCGTAGTTTGGCTATCGCCTCGCTGCGTTTCATGTCGAGAACTTCAGAACACTGCGTTCAGCTGTTTCTACGATAAGTTTCGTTCGCGGCGACAAAGTTGGGGACGAATCGACCGGCTAACACTGTCGATGACATTGCTCCGCCCGCAGCTTGCCACGGCAGCTGAGTCATTACCGGGGCGAATGGCGTCACGCTACTCAGCCTGAATGGCCACTGTGCCTTCTGTGAAGGCGCGAGAGGAAGATCGTTACTGGGGCCTCCCAGCAGTCATCATCGGTCGGCGAAGCTCGCTCCCTTCGAAACACCGCGCTTCTTTCCCGGCACCCACAAACGCGAGCGGCAGATACGCGGCGATCACCGCACGTATCGCCAGTGCCACCAACATTGGCACGGCCTTGGGCACTGGCGACGACAGTGGCGCTGACGCTGATAGCGACAGTGGCGCCGGCCCTGACGCTCATGGGGACGCATACATTGACGGTGTCACTGACACCAAGACTGGCAGCGACACCAACGAAGACGCTGACACTGACGCTGATGCAGACACAAGTTAGCCACACCAAAGCTGGCCCTGACTGCGACGCAGACTCTGACGGTGATCACTGACACTGACACTGACACTGCAGTGGGCCGAGGCTCACCTCCGCTGGCCTCGCAGGTCAGGGTCAGGGGCTGACCCTCGGCCACGGGCGGGGTCACGTCCAGAAGCCGGGTTCCGGCGCTGTCGTACACCTTGGGCACGTCCGGCGGCACTGCGGACACCGGCCCACGGCAATGTCAGTCACTGGCATGTCATGACTAAACGCTGCAAGCGTGCCGATCGATGTCACAATGCCGCCGGTATGCGGAGACTGTCCACGCAGCTGTTCGTTTCACGTGACGCAAATCCTCCGCCCTCAAACACGCCACCGATGAGTTATTGGAGCACCTGTTTCAACATGCCCATTTGAGTAGTCCGCTAGTCAAGCGCAATTCATGCAGGTAACTAACGTACCCGCAAGCTGACACAAGCCAGTCAACACGACTGCTGCACTGTGTGTTACGCAGTGCAGCTGAGACGGGAACTTAGACAGCCATTTTAGGGCAATGCTGGGTGCGACGTGACGTCACCGTACACATTCGAGGACTTGGATGCGCTGGCGACTTTTAGTGTAAGGGTCGGCTAGGGGCGTAAGCCTGTAGGCAGGCGTTCCCTAGTCTGAGTAGCGCAAATTTCAGCAGCTTACATTGTTTTCCCGGCAAAAATCTGGAAGAAAACGAACAAGTTCACACGTCTGTATGAACAAGTCAAGTCCGATAAGGATCGGATAATGCAGTCTGGCAATCATGCCATAGCCAGGATATGAAAATATTTCCTGGTCTGGCATATTATTTGCATATTGACATATTTACTGCATTGCCGTCCCCTATCCAGTAACTAAGTTGTCCGTGCTTGCCTCTTGATTTCGGATAAGTTCTGCACGTGCCACGAAAAGAGATGACTAGTTTTCTTCCGATGAAAATACCCCTATGCACAGCTTAGGCTTCACGTGCGTCTCCAGAGCAAGGCCCCGCATGGCCGCTTCTGGACATGACTCCTTGTTTTTGCATTACCGCGACCGGACGCCATGGTTTAGCACGTGAGCTTCAAAGTCATCTTCTGGCGGCTGGTGGTACGGCTCATGTATGCACAAAATGAGCCGCATTTCAAGATCACATTCGCCACGTCCAACACTTCGCTAAAGGTAAATGACCAGGTCGGGTTGAGTCAAGGCCATATCACTTCAATTTCCGGCCGCCCAATCGAAAATGATTTATTTCCCCTATGTTTCACGTGCCATTCATAAGTTATTTATTTGGACCTTGGTGAGTTAAAGTGATAATGTATGTCACTTGATATAAGTCACTTGTCTGTAAGTATAAGTCACTGTACTATATGTCGCTTGATAACACACTATGATAAAGTGATAATAAAGTGATAATATAATGATAACTTATGTCATCACAAATATGGATTTTCAGATAATTCTGGTCCGATGCTTGTACATTGACCTCTCAAGACCTCCGATCGTGATTTGGTAAGACCCTGGTAAAGTATGACTGACCTCAACTGGCAGGTCACATTATTGGAACACAAAAACGGAAACTGCGAATGATGGCACGCTGAGGCAAAGTCATCATGCAGGTCTTCACTAAAGACGTTGCGACTCAGTGTGATAAGGAAAAATTATGTCCTCCAGAGCGCTAAGTTGCCAATCTACCAGCTACTGCAAATTTGGTGAACCTGACTAGAACGATACAATAGGTAGTCTCAAAGCTCGGAGGGGTTACCTTATCCCTCCCCCTCCCCCATCAGGCGGTTGCATAACATCATATGATGACGACACATAGTCATCATTTTTCGGGAAGACTCCAAACACTCGTGTCGAAACCGGGCCCATGCCGAAGACTCCTTGCAGCAGCAACACAGCGAGATGCTGCCACCGCCATCTGACTGGTGTTGGACTGCAGGAAGACAACTATGTGAGCATCCGTAGTGTCGAGCGGCGAGTCATCCGAAGCTGGTAAACAAGCCGTCGGTCACCGTGAGCATGGGTCTCATAGCCCTTCTAACACTTGTATTATTAGACTAGTATCATCATTGCTAGTGCTGTCATTATTCGTCCCTCCTTATCCTATTATCCGTGCGTGTCAGAACTAGATGCAAGTGGAATACGGCGTGAACAAGCTAAGTAACAGTCGAATAGACACGGGCATGACAAAGGGTAAATAAGCGTCAGTGAAACGATGTTGTTCGCGAGTCATTCTCACTCCGAAATTCGAAGACATAAGATCAGTTTCGACATCTGTTCGAGTGATTTCCAAAAAGTCTAGTCTATATACTGCTTGCAAGGGAAATATATGAAACACGCTGCATATTCGGCATGAGGGTGGGCCGCACACCAACAAGGCTATCAAGGTACTATACAACGCAGACTGACTCCAAATATAGCGCTCAGCAATCTGATGGGATGGGAAAGATTAAGCTGAGCAGCCCACGTCTTCTCTACGTGGGCAGCACTGACATAATGATGCATAAAATGCATACAACACGCATAAATTTTCTGAGCCAGACGCCCTTCTTTTGATAACAAAGTAAGAGAGAAAGTGAGTTGCATGTCTTTGTTTACGATGAATGATGGCTGAAAATACCGCCCATTTAAAAAAAACGACAATCGCATGGTATTAGCCGCACTTAGCGGATTGAACAGTCTACGGAAAAAGTGTTATGCCCTGCTAGGTTACTCAAGAAATGAAAGTACAATAATTTTCCACTCCGTCTAGGGTGTCTCCTAGCAGAAACAGAAGCGCAACTTCTGTGTGAACAGATTAAACACAGACACTTACTGCCCTTCATTTGTGCTAAGTGGAACTGATTATGCCTCCCCCATGCTTCGGGATCTTGATAACATCAGCGAAGCCAATCTTAGTCCGCCGTGATGGCCGAGCATTAAGTAAACAACGGACTCAGCCGGTGTGGTTCGATTTGCCAAGCGAAAATAGAGCTGGTACGCGGTGGCAGGACAGGACTTGGGCCGCAAGGGCACGAGACACTCAAGACATTGGGCGCCGGAGCTTAGAAGTTGCTGTTTACCGACTCGGAAACGAGAAACTCCAGTGTAATTAACTGAATTGTCCTGGACTCCTGACAGTGACAAAGGTCTCTGTTTACCGGGCGTTTATGAGAAAACAGAGACGCGCAGGCTTGGCGTTGGCCAGAACGACCTCAGCTGTGAGCAGAAGCATGCCTGCGGACTGAAGTCAGCCACCTGGCAGCAGGCACCAGAACAGCGCACCGCGGCAGCTGTCCAACGCTTGACCAACACAGCAGCCGCATTTTGCCTGTCACCACGGTCGCCGGAACTAAAGAGCCGCTACTCGAAAATGGATCAACTTGTAGCATATGCAGCTGGCTACGAAATGCGCTGTTGCCCTCCATGACGACAACTTCAACTCTTCCATAAACAGAGGATCGCAAATTTGTGCCGCCGACAGATCAAAGACACCTAAAACCTGACGCCCGTCCGCGCAGCGAACGCAGCTCCGCGCCAGATTGAGCACCCGTGTCCAACAAGCAGCGAGCATCGGCGGAACAGGGCCTCGCTCGCCGGAACACTGCGCGCTTATCTGATTGGCAATCGGCGTAGTGCGCACAGCGCTGCCCGCTGAGCAAAATTGGCTGACGGTACCGATGACTTCAGGATGTTCCGGCTCCAGAGGACCAACTTGGGCAGTAGATTACACTCAAGCCAATTATGGCTATCCGAGGCTTCGGCGCAAGGCAGGAACGAAGCACGTGGACACGGCTGATGGTTTTGGCCGGGGAAATGAGATCAGTTGGGAAATGAATGGACGTGAGGCGGTGCAGCTGAATTAGGGATCACTCCATGATATCAGTGCACTGCCATTAAAACCAAACAAACTCTGAGTGCGACATCGTGACCAAAACTCGATACTTATCGAGACCTAGCTATGTCCCGATATTTAGCAACGTGGGCACATCCAGCCACAGCCAGAATCACGTCCTGGGAAACGTAGCCACAACCTGCCTTTTCAGCTAATATGCAGGAAACGTGACAAGACGTGGCATTAATTCCGCCATTTTTGTGACAATTGTCGGTCAGTCTGGTTTGCTGAAAACAGGGAGACCCTGGTAGCACGTACCAATCAATTTGATGATGGTGCGGCCGGCCTGAAAATCAGAGGACCCTGGTGACGCTCACCAATCAGCGTGAGGTTGGTGACGCCCACTCTGGACGGCGAATGGATGAAGTCGGCGCGGCAGATGTAGCCGCCCTGGTCCAGCTGCCGCAATCCGCTCAGTACCAGGCCCGGTGGCGACAGCTGGTAATGGGTGCGGGCCCGCGGCGACAGCAGGTCATCTGCAAGGTGCTGGCCTCTGCCGGGCGGCCGGCCGCGCGCGTCGTATCTGCGGGCACCAAGCGATGGCGCTAGTGCAGTCATCAGCACCCCGTGGGCGGACGGTTCGTGGTTGGCTGCACCAAGTCGACATACCATGTAGGTGCTGTCGACAGCACATCTGTGCATCCGGTTATCAAGGCAAACCACCGCTAGCCGCGGTAATGATATCGTCAGCTCTGCAACGTCGGATCTGCTTGCCCTCGGCGTATCCACCAGAAGTATGCATGATATACTTCTGGTGGATGCATGGCAGCGTGAGCACTCATGAGCGCTACTTCACTGTAAGGTGCAAAATCTCACAACCACCTCACCTGGGCATGGCAGGGCTGGAAGCGGAACGAGAAACTCCAGCTTCAAACTCGTAACAATCGCTCGCGCTATGTTGTCTTTCACCTGTCACAACCAGCCTTGTTTTCGCTGTCTGATAGTGTCAGAAGAAATGATTTGTGGAAACGAATTTCCTCCACGAACTAGCTCCCTCGGCACAGGGGCACAACGGCAAATTACAGTGTCCCACACAGAGATTAGTACATGTCACATGGGCACGGTGGAAGACCCTAGCGGCTTTTTCGGAACGCCGGATATAATTGGCATATATGATATGCCAGTCAGCGACCAAGGTCCCAATCTGGCGAGGCATGACCATGGTCTGAAGTGCTTCAGTCACCCAGCTCCGGTGTGGGTCCAGAGATAATTACCATGCATTCGCCTTACCTCCATGCCGTTCCACATGAGACTAAGAATCCACCCTCAGCTGTTATCAACAGCCACTAGCAAAACAAACGCACATGGACATCATATTTCCTATTTCTCACATCATCGAGTTCCGCAATAGTCTACGGAGTGGATTGAAACACGGCTTTTTTTATTCTCGTACAATTTTCATTTTGTCCGCGGGTTTGCCCTGCCCGCCAACCCCAAAAATAAGTTTGCATGTGAGTCAATTGTGTAACGTGCCTCAGAAGACACAAGTGTCTCTTCCTCATGGGGCGCTACTACTTTTGCATAGCTGAAGTCCTGCCAGCTGCGTTGTTGTAAATAACACTTAACTATGGTCTCATTTTGTTTGTTTTCCACACATCTAATTAAGCTGCTAGCTGAATGACCGCGTGCTAGGATCCAGCACCAGCGTCCATGCATCCGTGCTGTTCGTGGCGACAAGCGAGCAAGCGGACATCTGATGTTCCTTTTGGCGGCTACAAGCGGGCTAACGAACATCTGACGCTGGTGTTAGCGGTTATACACGGGCAAGCGGACGACTGATGACATTAGCGTTGACAAGCAGGCAAGCGGACAACAGGTGACATTAGCGGTGACAAACGGGCAAGGGCATATCTGATGTTGATGTTTACGGCTGCAAACGGGCAAGCGAACGTCTGATGACGTTAGCGGTAACAAGAGGGCAAGCGGACGTCTGATGACGTTAGCGGTAACAAGAGGGCAAGCGGACGTCTGATGACGTTAGCGGTGACGGGCGGACAAGCGGACGTCTGATGTTGATGTTAACGGCTGCAAGCGGGCAAGCGGACGTCTGATGACGTTAGCGGTAACAAGAGGGCAAGCGGACGTCTGATGACGTTAGAGGCGACAAGCGGACAAGCGGACGTCTGATGCTGATGCTAACGGCTGCAAGCGGGCAGGCGGACATGTCAGGCTGATGTTAGCGGTGACAGGAGGGCAAGCGAATGTCTGATGACGTCAGCGGTGACAAGCGGGCAAGCGGACGTCTGATGCTGATGTTAACGGCTGCAAGCAGGCAAGCGGACATGTCAGGCTGATATTAGCGGTGACAGGAGGGCAAGCGGACGTCTGATGACGTCAGCGGTGACAAGCGGGCAAGCGGACGTCTGATGCTGATGTTACCGGCTACAAGCGGGCAAGCGGACATGCCAGGCTGATGTTAGCGGTGACAGGAGGGCAAGCGGACGTCGGATGCTGATGCAGTTTCTGTCAGCACCCAAGAAAGCTGCTGCCAACACCGTGTGTACGCAAACCACCACTGCGAAGCAGAAAATCCGTGACACGTACCTCATTCAGTCGGGGATTCACTGTGACGCTATGGCTAATACCTGATGCCTGGTGTAATAACGACTAAAATTAGATCAGGAAGCGGTAAGCAAGATGATCCAGACGGGGCATCCAATGCCTCTGAGTCTCCCTCCCCCCACCGCCTCGCCAGGAAATGCGGCACACGGCACTGACGGCCTGCCGATCGCCCGCGATCCGGCGTGACTCACACACCGACCGCGCACACATGCCAGCCGGACAATGGCGGTCGATCGCCGCACCCGCAGGAACTCATAATGCATAATCTATTACGAGGTGATGCATCGTAAACCCCTAATGTCACGGGCCATTTAGCCAGAATGAGCTATCACGGTAAGATGTGTACGATCATGTGTTTCACCTGCTGTATAAGTAGTCAGGTAGCACCTCCACCGGCTCCTTTTCACGTTCATGTGCCTGGTTACTTCCATGCATCGGTCGTGGAATATTTATTGTCGGACGGCTTCTTGTATGAGACAATGCTATTCGGGCCTTACCGAGCCCATCGCCATTGTTTCTCACAAAACAGAGTCGAATAATTCTTTCACAGTGCAGCTAAAACGCATAATTTTTACTTCCATTTGTTTTGCTTTGTTCGCGACTTCTCGGGACATTCTGAACGCGCACCGCCCAATGCGACTTAAAATATTGAGCCGGCGCTTCTTTGGCGAGAAAGGTTACAGACATTAAACAGCACGAGTCCTGATGCTGCATTACAGCACATACTGGGCGATTTTTGTTACGGAGCCTAATATTGAACTGGCGTTGGTCGTTGGCAATATTGTTGTGTTGCATTAGATTAATCAAGATGTGATTTCCATTGCAGTGAATTTATATGTGATTTGGATTTAAACTGAAAGTGTGGGATGTGCCAGTTTCATCTATTACCGGTTTTTCGCCGACGAAATAAAACGATCAATCGATTATCCGGCACGTCTGGGAATATAAGGCACGTGCCTCACACACACACACACACACACACACACACACACACACACACACACACACACACACACACACACACACACACACACACACACACACACACACACACACACACACACACCACACACACACACACACACACACACACACACACACACACACACACACACACACACACACACACACACACACACACACACACACACACACACACACACACACACACACACACACACACACACACACACACACACACACACACACACACACACACACACACACACACACACACACACACACACACACACACACACACACACACACACACACACACACACACACACACACACACACACACACACACACACACACACACACACACACACACACACACACACACACACACACACACACACACACACACACACACACACACACACACACACACACACACACAACACACACACAACACACACACACACACACACACACACACACACACACACCAGACGAGGGCGATTGTCCGAACAAGAATTCAGTGCGCGACGCATTCACTTCAGTCGAGTCTGAGATGCGCACCGCGCATCTCAGACTGTGTTGTTGCCACCGTTGAACACCGTGTTGCCAGCAGCTAATCTTGGAAAACTAGCCAGAGCTTTTAGGTTTTCGGAATTATATTCCAGGTCGAGGGCAAATCTCGTATAATTTTTAGAGCTTGGTCAAGACAGGGAATATTTACCGCGCGACGCATAGCTCTGACCATTTACTGTGCGTGCCGTATCCATGAAGAAAATATGGGCTTCTTGAATGTGAATATAAATTAATCCGTAAATGATTATCGGTTATAATTCTTCGTTGAATACTTTTCTCGCGGCCGAATGCATCTCGTCCTAGATTGCCCATTAAACTTGACAGGTTCTTAAATAATGTTTTAACAAGCATGCATTTGGGGGCATGTTTTTACATTGGCTGTTTACCTTGTAGGAGTTTTGGCCTCATTTGCAAGCTACTTTTAAGGTAGCTTGCAAATGCCATGCCATTTAAATAGCCATTGCTGATCATCGGAAAGGAACTCAGGTGAAGTCGGTTTTTAGAAACAAAAAAGCAAGGTTAGTTGTTTAGTAAGAAACTCAGGTTGAAGTCAAGATTTTACGTGTAATTCAAGCTTTTCTCGAAAGTGCAATGTTATTGTAGGGCCTCAAATGAACTTTCCGTTGCTGCTAATATCAATAGTTCGGTCGAAATACCTGCAGGGGTATCTTTTTCAAAACAACCAAAAGACTAAAGACATTCCCTTTCAATCAGCTGTGAGATGCACGCAATGCTCGCACATCTAGCCCCACGAAAGCTTCGTGGCAAGTGAGCATTGCCGCCGGACGCTTAGCAATTGTCCATGGCCCGATGCTGGTACATTTGTCCTTACCATACAAAGCGAGGCTCGGCTTCCAAGTTCCACAACACAGGATACATTAGCTGAACACGCTCCACTTTGTAGCGGCCCGCACCCACTTATGCTTTGCCGGCAAAAGATTGGCGAATGCGAAACGCTGCGGCCAATCTATTACATGTCAAGCTAGCTTGACTCATCACGATGAATACGTAAGTTGCAAGCGAGGTGGGGGGAGTGGATTCCGACAATTCCATTACGCACAGAAGGCTCAATGGAAGAATAATAGATGGGCTAGAATAAAACTGTATACGGAATATACAATACATGATCTGGCCGCGGCATGGCCGGCGGCGTAACGTGACGCACGGCGGGCATCCAGCACACACGGGTAGCTACCGAAAACACCCACCGGAAACGTGGGGGGACCGACAGACCGGGCCCTCTACCGACTGAGGCCTACATATACGGCTGCAGGTTGCGATGCAAGCAAATAGCTAGACTGTTGTCAACAGCTGATAAATATGCCTGAAATACGAGGATTAACCATTACGTCAGCGTCGTCGGCTTATGGTGCAATACTCGCGTTACCGACCCAGTCAGGATTCACCGCGGTGGAGACCTGCTCTCTAACAAAACAAAACGACGGATCAAGAGCTGCAGTTCTGTGTCATAACTTTTAAGGATTAACCATTACGTCAGCGTCGTCGGCTTATGGTGCAATACTCGCGTTACCGACCCAGTCAGGATTCACCGCGGTGGAGACCTGTTCTCTAACAAAACAAAACCACGCATCAAGAGCTGCAGTTCTGTGCATCATAACTTTTAAGGATTAACCATTACGTCAGCGTCGTCGGCTTACGGTGCAATACTCGCGTTACCGACCCAGTCAGGATTCACCGCGGTGGAGACCTGTTCTCTAACAAAACAAAACCGACGCATCAAGAGCTGCAGTTCTGTGTCATAAAGCAACTTTATTTGCTTTGATTTCGACTGGAACCCTTTCGGCCGTTAATTTTTGCCTCAGTGCTGCGCGATGGAGAAGAGTGCCTGGTACGTCAAAACTACATGTGCCTGAGAGTCCCCGTCACCGAGAGAGCCAGACACATCAAAATCACAAGGTGGTTTGGCGAGTCTTTAAACTCCCTTGTGTCGAAATGTGAGGTCCCTAGGTCATAATCTTCGGTGACAATAAGGTCAACTAAGATAAAACTTCACATTGGTGTCCAAAGTGCCAACGAGGCCTCCTTATTCAAGCGCCCTGAACACAGGTACCTGCTCATAGACAAAGATCACTGGTGTCCGTTTTTGGTCAGTGGCCTTGTTTGACATTGAGAGGGTCATGGTGGCCAATAACCTAAGGACTGCTTTTGATTTCTTTTTCAATTTAAATAAGCGAAAGACTTACGCTAGGTGGCATCTCCTAAAAACAAAAGGCTGATCTGGGTCATTTTGGGTCAGTGATCCACCCCGAACTTGACAAGTCCAAAAGTAAAGTGGTAGTTGTCTGATACTTTCCATGCCATCAACAAATTTAAAATAAGCATCAGCAGCTACCCATAAAGCAAGTTCTTCCATCAAACCAGAGTTGTTTTGTCCTCGGTCTGACGTTGACATCTGACACGAGCTCAATGGAGTTTTTTTTGTAATTATAACTTCAAATGTCCGATCGTCTAAGGAATTATCCCAGCAATGCATGGCTTATTCTAACGCTCCGTTTTCGCATCAGATTGAAGCATTCCCTAGAAATTACCTCCGCTGGCAGTGACGTTCTGACTCTGACCTGTCAAAGTTTAGCGACTTCGCAAGGCACATCTTTTTTGTCACATCAAAATACCTGTTGTTTAATTGCCAATAACTTTGCAAAGTTTGGCGCAGCTAGCTGCGTCATTCGGAAATTATTTTGAAAACAAATTATAAGAGGGGCCCAAATGATTCCCACACGAGTGCGTGTTAAGCCCCTCAGGGTAGAGATGATTGATTCAGACGTGATCGCGCTGCCCTAGAGTTTGCAAAGAAACGTTTTGTATCAATTCATGCATGATGCCGCAGTATTACACGTTTTATATGACTTTTAAGCTCACTCCTTCGAGCTGGAGTCATGGCCTTTTTTTAAAGTCGCACGAACTACATGTTGTGTCCTAGACGCTCGAAAACGTACACTTTTACGGAGTTTGAATTACGCAGCATTTCTTTGCATTCGTCTGCTTCATATTGTTATTGCAGAGCACGATCACAGCCTTCTATAACAAAACAATTGGAGGTAAAATCAGTCAGAATTAGGATAGCTTCCACTGGTAGTTCTCGACCACAGCCCCGCGGTTGACGGGATATGAGCTCAGAGAGACCCCTCACGAGCTCAGTGGCACAACTGCCATCATTCAGCTAAAGCAACAACCGCTCCTACGGCTAAGGTCACCACTACAGTAACATGACCTGATCACGCGTATCAATCATGCAGCCACTAGACCAATGCACCGCTAACTAACATCAGCTGCGAGCACATTGTCGGCAAACCGTCCACCAGGGAACGCCGGAACCAGGTGAAGGGGGGGGGGGGATGACTCACGTGTAGAACGGCAGCTTGGAGCCCAGTCGATACCAGAGCACCAGCTCCAGTTTGTCGGACGGGTCGGGCGTGCTGGCCTGGCAGGGCACCGTCACAAGGCCGTCCACCACACCCACTACGGTCCGCACGGGCACTGCAACCGAACGGCCGCAGCGTCACAGCGGGGCGGGTCAAGACGTAGCACAGCCGGGGAGCACAGAGGGCGCCGGACGGAAGCAACGCAAGAGGCGGTGAAAGGGGCAGGACGGGTGGCCCGTGCAGGGGGCCGTAAAGGGCCGTGCGCGGGGTTCGGGCTGGTCGTACAGGGGCGACGAGAGTGGGAAGTGGCAAAGGAAGGTCAAAAAGATTGTTGCGTGTTGGTGTTGCAGCACGCCAAGTCGGCGTTGTGGCGGTACAACATGTCACACTGGTCGCCTCATAGACGATAAACACTGAGCTAACGGCCTGACCCTCAACCCAGGACTGTCCAGAGCGCAGAACAACGGATAACGGCACAAGGAGACGGCACGGGCGTCTCCCAATATGCAACATTTTTCCAAAGTGATTTCGAGCTAATCTTGATCTATAATCACAATTGAGGATCGTATTCACGTCCACAATCTATAATCACAATTTCGCGGATAGAGTAGTTGTTTGGACCGTCTGTTGCGTCAGCGTAGAAGCAAACACAACCAACGTGGACGATAGTCCGAACAAGTATCACATATGTCATACCAATGCATATTCTCAATCCTGCCGAAGAAACTCTAATAACACTTTTATGCAAGGGTAATCGCAACTGGATGTCGTATTCTTGAAGAGAAAGAATTACAGACATGTTCGCAGTTTTTTACCTTTAGAAAGCAGGATAGAAGGAAATGTTCCACATTTTAATATACTGAGACAAGCATCAGATATAAGTTCACTGGCAGCTATTGGCATGCTGCCCGAGACAAAAAATCGTTATTTAGTAAAGATGCTCCTCAAGATGTGATGATTTGATTGCGTCGTGAAACGTTTGTATGACATCAGAGGGACTGCCACACTGGCCGTGCGAATTTGTTATCGCAGCGGACGGGCTGACTCACTTGTGGTACTTAAGCTTCTCGACAGGTGCCGCACTATCGGTGCATTATTGGCAGAACCCAAATGTCGTTATGTGTGCGTGTTTTGGGCCTTTCTCTTGATATCCTTGCATATTAATATGTGATTCTACATTGCTATCTCACATTCATTTGCTCGATTGGAGCTCTATTCCTAAATTATTTGATTCCCAGTCTTATTTCCACCATAACTAGCACCAGTGTCCAAATTTCTGTGCTGTGTGGCACAATACGTTACTCGTGCTCGAAATTTGCACTGCATGTATTACATTGTTTTAAAGCCATTTAAACCCCATTAGGTGCTGGAAATCGTGCTAATATACGTCAGACACTGACTCGGCGACTATCTTTATATTGGTGTTGAGCACCGCGTGTCTATGAGTTGGCAATATTTGTGTCACGTTTCTATGGCACCATGCACGCCTTAGGTGACCTAGGAATGGCGTGCACGAAATGGTCCGCACAAGTTCGCGAGCTTTTTGTTCAGAAACCAGAGGGATTGCTTCAGGAGCGACAGGGGTGAACACTGCACTGTATAATCATCAGAATGTTCATCTCAGTTCAAAATCAACAATATGGAATGCAAATGTGGAACACCCGCTGTAACTGAGATTTGACATAACCTGTGAATGGTTTTACTTTTATACGCAGTTCTGAGAATGTTCTAGCAAGTCCCAGTTCCCTAGTTCCTTCTACCTGCTCTGGTGAGCTTCTAAAGTTACATCCTGTTGGCGCAAAACCCTTAATTGCTTATTTCTGGAGATGTTTGTGGAAACTTGTGGTTTAATTGCATTGTACGTGAAAGAGTTAAATCAACCCGCCATTACTTCCAAGCGGAAACCAAGCCACTGTCGGACGGCAAGCAGCCACCTATGGTATGTGCTGCGACGCTAGCTACGAGCAAGACGACCTAATTATCCGCCCCGGAGGCCGCTCCTCGGGCGTTTGAACGGACCTCACGCGCTGCCCGCACACCAGCCGGCACTGCTGTTATACTGAGCTGACAAACTGCTGGACAGCAGCACAGCGGGAACTTGGTCGGGGACGGGGAGAGGTTTGGTTCTGTCTGTTTCATGCGCCAACATGCGCTTACTTTCACATGTTCTCGGGATTGGCGGGGCCAGCATCTACCCAAAGTCAGTCAACTCCAGTGTTTATGATTGAAACAAACCCGATACGACACGGTGCGTCACTTCAAATAGCACGCATTCTTTCTGCATATCAGTCACGCATCACACCATTCCATGAATGGGACTTCACGCCCCTAGTTGCTAAGCATTGGTATCCTTCTCGGGTCCTGGGTAACATACAGACAAGACTGTAGGCCTTCAAAATTTGCTTGTGCGAGTTACAATCAACGGTCAATGCCGGTCTAATCAACGGCCTCCACAAACAATCTTGAGTTTAGATGTTCCGCGGACCTTGATCTTTATAGAACTGTGGATAGCCGAACCATTAGCCTAAATGCGAGAACAATCATGAATGCCTGCCGATCACTTTCCAGGTAAAAGTGGTCTTAGACAGAATGAAGACCTATGCAGACTTTCTCAGAATGGCATGCAATATTGACCGCATCGCAAGACCAAAACATGAATTAAACTCAGGATGTCATCCTTTGTAATTCATGCGTACTTAAGTACACATGAATTACAAAGCAGTATGTATACCTAAGCGAATGCAATCCCCACGATGCAGTCCTGCCATGTAATCAGAGTTCCGCTTAAATAAGGGAGTATTTCTGGAAACTGTCATGGGCGAAATCACCGTCAAACAACTTGCGTGACAAGGCGGGTGAGAAGAGGCGGTCCCAAAGTGATGCTACCAAACGGCAGCCACTGCCTGCTCGCGATGCTCTGAGTCAAGACGACGCGATTGAACTCCGTTCTCTAGTGCGGCACATTTTGTGTTTATGCCTGCTTGACTATTTATTGTCGTTCGAATTGCCTTTCAACGCCTGATGAATAGGAACAGAAATACTTCGCCGCTAAGCACTCCATTTCAAGCATGGTGTTAAAATGTATTTTCATAGAAGTCTAATCTAAGGGTGGAAGACCACGGCGGGACAGGTAGAAGCGATCGGTTATATCATATGGAACCTGTGTTGTTGCATAAGCAAAAACAAGGTGAGAATTGAATCCACCTTCGGTTTCGGATGTTCGCCACCAAACGAGTGTAGTGCATCTGGGAACATGTCTCGCTGTAAGAGCTTTTGCAAGAACCTGGTGGAACACAGCACAGTTCAATAGTGTTGGGCATATCGACTGGATACATTTGGTAGTTGGTACATTCGCTATTTGATACTGCCGTACAGCTGGGATCGTTAGTGCCTTTATCTTTGGATTCATCACCTGTATTGGCAAGCGTTCGAGTCCCCCTACTCCCACTGATCCTGGAAGTAGTAGATTTTGCTCTCTCTGGTAGTGCTTTTGCCAGCTATTCCTAGTTGTTCGCCCGCAGCAACACAACCTATTGTGACTTTCATTAAATTGGTGTGCAGGTGTTGGGTAAGAATTTTGAAATAAAAATCGGGCCGGTAGAGGTGGTAAGCGGCCGTTGCCCTGGTGAGGCAATTCACTGTAGATGATCGGTAACAAGCGCATTATTGTGCGTCGCACCCCGCTGTATTTGTATCAAGCTAAAAATCACTGATTTGGGCATAAAATAATTAATATGCACCGAAACTATTGGGTACGAACACAACTTTTCTGGCAGCGCCGCACTCTGTTCTTAAAAAGAGGGAGTGTATGTGGATTTCTAACAGTTGTATTGTACCTAGTTGCGACACATCTTGAAGGTTTCCATAATGTCTGTGTACCAAGTTCGAATGTCAGCAGAGAAAGATTCGTCCAAAATGTCCGGAGTCTCTTTCTTTTGGCGGCCATCTTCTTTCCATGAGACCAAAAAAGCACGCTTTTGCGGCATCTGTCAGCTGTATCTAAGGGTAAAATAAGTGATGAGAAATCTGTTTACACAGACGTATGCATGCATCGTGCTTCACATGCATCATCAGTATTTATTTTTATCTTCACTAATATTTTCTTACTCCCTCTCTTCTCAACGGAAGAAGCCTCTTCTAGGAATAAAGCTAACACAGTCCTGTCACCACATTCCTGCTCCACAAAATCGCACGCTTTGATTCGGAAAATATATTTGCCCTGGCCTGGTGGAGGCAGTGCTTAGCAACGCACAGGGTGTAAGGAATTCTGAGATTTCGTATTGTGATCAGTTCACCAGCTTTTTCCCCAGGCTAAGTAATACTCAGTTTGCGAATGGTAAAGAAGTCGCACTGACTATACCAAACCAGTTCGCTTTATAGAAACAGCGAGTCTACGCGAAGTCTATCACCTGAGAACTCTTGCCTAAAACATATGAGCTGCATTCCTGTCTTACTCATAGCATAGCCAAAATGCTGTCGGGATCTATCATACTGATAGTAAGGAAAAATTACCACACACCAACGCATCAGCTGGGACGCGTTGGTAATGCGATAGGAAAACCCCGAGCAACTGTGGCATTGCAAATCTGGTTGACGACGTTTTCCGGCACGCGCAGGTCGTGCAAAGGTACTGCGGGATGCGATGGCACGCGCGAGGATCTCAGGTCGGTCGGTGTCGAGCGCGACCGGTGGCGGTTTCCGCTGAGCTCGTTCGGCCCTGCTGGCCGGACGCCCTGGTCGTTTGTCAGCCGTCCGTGCACTCTCTCCATTAGAGGGGCGCCAGGGCTATCACAGGGGTCGTTACTCGGCCGGCTGACGCGCGCCGGTCGGTCAGCGCGGTCGGAAGACCATGTCATGCCCGCCGGCACCAGCGACCGTCGCTGGAGCGATGGTCTCGCTCTCACGCACCGACCCGTCGCCAGAGAGCCGCCGCTCGGCTGATTTTCGAGACGGCTGATTTCCGAGACAGGAAGCGTATGGGATCAGACAGCCGCCGATCGGCTGATTTCCGAGACAGGAAACGTATGGGATCAGAGAGCCGCCGCTCGGCTGATTCCCGAGACAGGAAGCGTATGGGATTAGAGAGCAGCCGATCGGCGGATTTCCGAGACAGGA